TGGCGGTGGATATGCTGGGCTAGTGATACACTGTTGCAAAAACCCATGGGTAGCACCAATGATGTAAGATAACATGCTTCGGGGCAGTCTCCACAGAGGTTTCGGGGAACACGACGAGCAAACGCTAAGTAAGGCCTCCAGGCCTGTGGTACCCTGAACAGGTAAAAGAAACAGCGCACATCTTCGCTGCTTACGAGGAGCGTCTCGCCTGGCTGAATCTGGAAGGCGTTCATGCTGGGCCAGCTCGGGAGGGTGCTCACGTCGCCTGTGATCGGACGGCACAGCTTGTTCAACGGCACTAGGTTCATGATTAGGCGGTGTACTTCATGTCCCTGGAAGGTCTCCTCTTTCAGAACCCCAAATAGTCCATTTAGTAAAGGCTTGCCTTCCACCTTGTAGACCTGGCTCTCAGGGATGAGGCCACAGATCCCACGGGACAGGAGACCTGAACAAACGGCCTCCCACTGGTCCCCTGCCACCATCACCTTGGGTGGTTTGGTGTACCGCTGAACGTCTTTGGGGAGTAAATAGTCCTCAAAGTTCTGGACATAGTGAAGACATGCTGCTCCTACAACATGCTCTAGCTCCACTGCGCCGACCTCTTCCGGAAGAGCTGGTGCAAGGTTCTCCCAGGAGGTTTGTTGAGCGGTCTTGACTTCCTCCCCTTTGTAATCAATGCTCCGAACCTTCAAGAACTCCTTCCAAGTCAGCTCCCCAAACAATGGTAACCTCTCCAAAAATCTTTTCACCTCCTCACTCAACAAAAGGAAAATGCGGGCATGCAAAGGTGATACAACTCCACTGCGACCGGGCCTACAATCGTAAACATCGTTCAAACCCAACACCAATCCACGAAGAACAGTTCTAACCTTCTCCGACAAATGGGCAAGGAAGGGCTGGTCCAGGGCGGTGTCAATGGGGAGAGGAAAAACCTCCCCCGAGGTCGTGGTCTTGCGAAGAAAGTTTGACCCCACCAGTCCTCCCACGACGTCCCCAAACTCCATCCCACTCAGCCCGGTTTTTTCTGGCTCGATGAGCTCGGTGCGTTCTGAGGTGCAATCCAGACCGGCACGTCCTTCATGCTCTGTACCAGCCAAAATGGCTGCTTCTGAGTGCTCATATTGTGTTGCACCCAGGATCTCAACTGGCATCAGTGGCTTCCATCTGTTTCCCATCGTTGACTTCCCGGTCAATGCGTCGGAGCTCAGCTTCAATGGCCTGCTCTGAAAGAGTCCCGAGAGGAGAATTTATTTGTCCTTCTCCCTTTCTCTGTCCTTCTTGTCCTTTCCCCCTTTGTCGCGCTTCCCTTTTCCTTTGGAGTCGTCCGACTTGCTCTTGTTGCTGCTGTTGCCATCGCCTTTTGCACCTGACCAAACCCCCTCGAGATCCACCAACTGCGATGCTTCTGCTGGTGTCAGCTCCTCCTCCCAAAGCTTCCACTGACTTCAGCCTCTGCAAGAGTACGTCCAGGCATAGTGCCGGCTGTCCCTCGAGCATGGCGTCGGCGGCTGAGCATATGTTCAAGCTCTCCCGTGCCAGCGGGGGAGAGAGACGACCCGCCAACACCTGCCGGTGATATTGCAAGCAGATTGCAGGAAGAGCTCCTTCTCGTGGCGCCACCGGGAGACCCTGTGCTGTCAGCAGATACTTGGACATGTTCTGCACGGTCTGACAGGATAGAGCTCCTGGTCCTTTCATAGCCGCCCTCCTGATCCGATGAGAATCCTCGAACAGTTCGCCTCCGGCGCTCATCGAACGAGTATCCTCGCTGCTGCTGCCTGAAAACTGCCCTCGGAGTCGTCCTTCTTCTTCACCATGGCCTTTCGAGCCTTCCTCATGACCACTCGTCGATTGCTGGCGGCGGGGTCCAGGCCGGTGTACTGAAAGATCTGCTTGAGGTCCTTCTTTCCCTCCACCTTCCAGGATTTGCTTTTCTTCTTCTTCTTGGCCTTCTTCTTTTTCTTCTTTTTTCTTTTCTTCTCTTTGCTCGAATCCGTGCTGCTTGAACTCCCCGATGTCACGACTCCCTTCGCGGCGTCTTCCGCAGGAGTCCCAACTCCCTTTCCTCTTGCTTCTTTCGCCTTGCGGTCGGACTCGGCGGCCAACTTCCTCAACACCTCAGCCTCTGCTGCCTCCTTCAAGTTGTTGGCCCAGCCTGGAGTATCGACGTCCAGCAGACGGAGCTTCTTGACGTGGATCAGGTCTTCGCTCTGCGGGCTGTTGGCACATCCTGCGGGGCAAAGGTGACCTCGAACCACCCGATCTGCCCGATCTTCTTCGGCGGTCAACCACTTCAGAAGCAGTTCGTCTGGAGTGCCACTCACACGGAACGTCACTTCGGTCTGTCCCGCCTTGATTGCTAAGCCTACCAACTCTGCAGCGGCCTCGATCGGCTTGTCCCAATAGAGGGCCTCCAGGTTGAACTTCTTGCCAGGTGTCAAATCTGCGATGGGCACACTCCCGGCGTCCACCCATGCTCGCGATGCCAGATCCTCCCTGGCAGGAGCGGCCGGAAGATCTGCTGCTGGCCTAGCCCTCACTCTTCTGCGATCTCCTCCTCCTTCAACTCGAGCAGCCGGTCTCCTCTTGGGGGCCATTCGGGTCCCCTTCACCACCTCTTTTTATAGGCGAGGTACTCCTTGAAGTCCAGCTGGCGCCCCACCTTCTTGACTCCCTTGTTGGTCCAGTCCGGGCGGTACCCCCTGCCTGATGGAGGGTACCCTTTCCAGCCACGGCCTCGTCCGCGACCCTTGGACGGGGGGGGTAGTCTTGGCTTCCTCTGTATTGATCGGCTAGGTCTCCGTGAGGGTCGGGGGTGAGCTTCCGGATGTGCTGATGACGACTGACCTTCTCGAGCCCTCTCAAGATCTTCTCTGGCCTCTTCACGACTGTCTGCACGGTGCTCCCGCTCGCTCTCGTCTCGCCTCCTTCGCCTCCGCCTCGATCTGGATCTCGTCCTCCTGGATCTTTTCTTATCTCTTGCACTGACCGAACGAGGAGAGTGGACTGCTTCTCTCTCCCTTTCTTCCTCCTCTGTAGCAACCTCCTCTAACAGCTGCTGGTCGCTGACCTCCTTCTCGGGCTCTTCAAGCTCTTCTTCCTCACCTGCTCCTTTGACCTCAGCCTTCACTCCACAAGCGGCTTTGGGAGCAGTTGTGCGGAGCGCTGCCTCCTCCGAGTTGAATGCACTGTCCTCGCTGTCTTCTTTCTTGGGCGACTCTGGACGGTCTCTCTTCTTTGTCCGGTGTCCAGGGTCTCGATGTTCTCGATGGGCTTTCTGTTCCTGAGCTTTCCTCTTCTTCTCTCTTGGTTCCTTCTCTTTCTCTGCCTTGCCACTTGATGCCTTTTCTTTCTCTCCCTCAGCCGGCTCCTCCGCTGAAGGTCGAGACTCTGCGGCTCCCCGGCCTTGTCCCGATTGTTGATCCTCTTGCTTTGTCTCCCCTCGGACCGCTGCTGCCTCCGGGCCCAGGAGACCTGTTCCCACGGGTGCCGCCGCAGGACCAGGAGGTTTTGGCGCTTGTGCCACACGCGCCTCTGCAAAGTCCGAAACCTCCCCTACGATCACGCGGAGCCGCTCAGCAGCGTGCCCCACGGCCCCACGTAGCCGGCGAGGAACGAATGCTCCGCTATGTGGCGGAAAAGCCGCCCCAGAGTCACGCACACCCCACACTGACAGCGTGGATTGTGACCCCAGGGCGTCACCATCAGAAGTTGAGCCGGAGCTGCGTCGGGACACCTTTAAGGGGACTTCTCCTTTACTTACGGGGGCGACACAGCATACATAAATAAACAGGAGAGAAGAGGAAGCAACAAAAAATGAAAAATAATCTGAATGTCAGGTGTCAGGGGGAAGGCAACACCTTTTATGCTTATGCAGTTACAGTTTGAGAGTGAGACTGATTATACAGGGCCATAAACCTACGTAATTGCTCAGGCTCAGGTTACTTCGATATTTGTGGTCAGGCTGGAGTCTAGCAAATGCCCCATGTCGTTAGAATACATTTCGGAGTCGTTTGTGCCTTTAAAAATGTAAAGACTGTGTCAGGTTTTGCATATGGCTGCTGGAACAAGCAAAAGTCCGACTGGGGTGGTCCACAAGTGTTGGTAACTACTTGTACTGTACATTACACCTTTTTGAGGGGTGCAAACTCGGTTCACATATACACTCCCTCAACCGCCATCACCCGATCGGAAACTCCTGTCAAAGTAATGAATACACACCGACTATCGAAGTCTCACATCACAAGGATTGTCAGCGGCGGCAAATGTCCAACAGGCTGTAGGAGGCCATCGAAGAAAAGAATCTTGCATAACATACTTATATACATGGTTCAATGTGCATCGAAATGTGTGCTCATGCACTCTAGACTCTAGTTGCTGACTTGGCTCTGAGTGGTCCGTCTCTCGAATGTTGAAGTGCACACTAACACGCACACCCTATCTGCATGCCCCTGCACATGCAAAACAAACAGAGAGCTAAAGATTGCTTGAGTCTGGGGGATCACTGTCACGATCGACTTTGCTAAACAGTTGTATCCTCAGCATAATTAATAGATGACTTGTTCCCTTGAGCATCCATTTCTGCAGTGTCATGTACTCTTGTATATCAATATAATATAACTGATCCATTTAAATAAGTGCACCTCCGCATGTACGGCCTGTCAAAATGTTCTATTTGAGGCGTTCTGCTGTTTGCATTCCTCCGCAGAGGCAATGGGCAAGTGGCAAAATTGGACGACAAAACCAAAAGAGTAATGGTTAATACACATTGGAGGCCATCGCTATTAGGTTGGAAGCCATCGCTATTAGGTTGGAGGCCATTGCTATTTTAGGTTGGAGGCCATTGCTTTTAGGTTGGAGGCCATTGCTAGTAGGTGGAGGCCAGTGGAGGCCATTGCTATTTAGGATGGAGATGCCAATTCCAGGTAGAATTCTGATTCTGGATCTGTCCTGCCTGTCGCCCCGCGGCGCTCTCTCAGCTGTGTACAAGAATCCCGCTCTCATTCGGGAAGATTCCGCTCTTTCAGGAACCGATGATTCAGTGCCTGGGAATGCGTGTCGATGGAAGTTGTGCAACGTCGACACGTGCAAGTGTTCAAAATATTCCATGTGGGTGGAAACGTGTGGTGCGAAGTAGTGCGTAGAGACTGCTTCAAGCATGACATCTTTTGTGGGGAGATCCATTCCACTGTCAGCCTCCTGGGTCATAACAGCGTAAGGACAAACATCCCCTTTCTTCAGAGTGTGGAACGCACTACAGGCCCCATTTTCTTAGGTAGTACCTTTCTGTTTGTTCAAGGCATGCAAGGCCAGAAGCCAGCGAGTCACATATTCTTTGCAAATGATAAAGGCATACTGATTCCTGGACTGGCTCCAAATGCTGATGTCATTGAATTGTGGTTCAGTACTATATAGAGCTGTTTGAAACTGAGGCACAGTGTCCTATTCTATTCGATTGAGCTGGCCTGCTTGGCAGTAGGTCGAGTGTTCTTGTCAAAGGTTAGCAGTCGGCCTGAACCAACTCTGAATGGCTGTCACTGGCCAGTCTTGCCGAATGCCAGCACACTGAGTTTCTAGAATGAACACTCAACGGCTCAACAAAAAAAAGATAGTCACGGCACTTAAGAACTCTCTAGCGATACCAAGAAGTTTCGGCAAGGCATCAAGTTTAGATCTTCTCTAGAAAAACCAGACTTGGCACCTTTCTAGGCCAGAATCTCAAGTCACCAGTCACCAGAACTTACCGTCCACATGTCTTAGTTCTTCTAGTTCTAGTTCTAGTTCTACTTCTTCTTCTTCTTCTTCCTCTTCTTCTGGGCATGAAGTGCACCCAGATCATGGCATAATTCTAGGTCAAAGACTCATCCCAAACATATTTCTTCTCACTGACTACTGTTCGATTCTTCTGCTACATACAAAGTGTATTCTCCTTAGTTTCTACCAACACCTCGGCCGCTTTCCTGAGTGGCGCCTACAAATTCTGCGAAGACAGCATGTTGCGGATCCACCATCTTTTCTAGTGGCACCTGGACCAGTCAGGTTGTCAGGTTGGCTTCACTGCTACTCGATTCAAGCGCATGACTCTTTGCATGGAATAGAGTTCCAACTTCAGAAGCATGGCTTGGGTCATTCTTGTAGTCTAGGATACCGCAGTGCTTGACTCTTGACTTGGATTTCAATTCCCGCCAAATGAACATGAAGTTGCTATATTCATGTAGCTTCCGTGTTTAATAGAACTGCTTGAGAAAATTCAACCTGAGTTAGCTGGACAGTTCACAAGGGTCATGTGTCAAAACAATGTATATACAGTGTTTGCAAAGCAGTATATTTGCATGTATTTGCCAGGTCATTCACAGCCCGGACAGCACTGTCAAGCTTATTCCCTAGAATGAAAGGACATGATCTTTGATCAAGGTCTTCTTGACGAAGCGGTCTTCTTGACGAAGCCAACTCTAAACGGCTTGAGAAACTTGAGAAACATTGGCCATTATATAAACAACATGTCACAAAATTGGAGGTATTGTAAATTACAGTATATGGTATGTTCTTCAGCCAAACGCTAGCATTGCTGGCCTGGTTTCGCACATGCCGCTCAGAAGACGCCGACTGCGCCCCAGCAGGCCTGAAGGTCAAGACGAACCTACTGGTGATTGAATGGGAGACACGCACATGAAAACATTGATGTCAAATCAGGCCGCAGGTGCTAAGGAAGCAATTGAGAGGACGGAAGTGGAGAATCTGTGTCTTTGAAAAGTGGCCAGGACTCCAGATTTTGGAGGCTACTCGGACTTCTCAAGTGTTTCCGTGTTTCCATTTGAGGCTTGGTCATCTGTATACAGTATATATATGCATTCAAGTGCGGCCAAATTGCCAATTGAGCCGCCACTCGCCATATCTGTCTCTCACCAGGTACCTAGAACGGGTCATTGCGTCAATGTGTTTCACGAGTTTCCGAGACGCCAAGTTCTTATCACTCCCTCTTCCGCCCGCAAAGAGAAACGCAGAGTTTCCTTGTCCGGAAACCCGCATGAGTTTCCTTTCTTTTGCACTCCAAACGCAGGGCACTTGTCCCTTGGTGTGCCAGTTGCCTGTGACAGAATCTTGCTTGACATTCTTCCCAAGCTTTTCTCCTGCCAGTTCACGAAAGTGCTTGCAAAATTCTGACCAGTCTGTGCGAGGCGGTGGCTAGATTCTAGATTAGATTCGGGCCAGGGTTTAGCGTGCATTGTGCATAGTTAGTACCACCATAGAACTGGTGGATGCAACAACAACAGAGGAAAGGCGAAGAAGAAGCAGCAGCAGCGTCAGCACCAACGCCGGCAGCAGCAACAACAACCACAACAGCATCATTGAGAACAGCTGTGTGAAGGCAAACTTACCTCTGTGTGCGAGAAAGGGGAAATGCGGCAAATACAGTACAACAATTTACGACAGCACACCTGAAGTGAAGTCACTGTGACTCCTCTCGAAAATAATGAACATAGCCGCTGCTTCCAATCTCAATCTCTGCAGTCTACAAAACTCAACCAAGGCCCCAAGCCCAGAAGGATATCATATATATATATATATATATACGTAATAAGTAAGTATATAAGAAGTATACACACACAAGCACAATGTAGATGTTACACGAGTGTTCAAAGAAGTCTTGACGATTGCAGGCTTGCAAAATAATCGCAGGCTGCGCAACTAGGCCAAATAACCCCAGGGCTCCATCAGTGCGAGGTGCTCCAAGTTCTCGTGGGTTCCAAAGAGCAGCTCACCAGTGTAGAGTTCCATCAGGATGCATCTGGTGAGTCGACCAAAGGATAGCGGAAAGAAAGGACTGTAAGGCTATATGAAACCGAGGCAAATCGAGGAACATCACGAGCTATGAATGATGTTTCCTCTGTTCTTCGCTGGTTAGGGGAAGTAGAGCTTTGCCAAAAAAACAACCTGATGTCTTCAGGAATGATTTTGTGGGGGCACGGTTCATGGTGGCAGAAACAAAGAAGTAACGGCAAGATCGGCAAGTGCCAGGTGAATCTGAACGACTTGGAGACAATGCAGGTGGATGACTCCGCATATATTTATATCTTGATCTGTGTTTCTCACACTCCGAAGCGAGAATCCAGTATATATCGGTTCGTATCGGTTGTCTGAAGCATCGCTTGGTCTGTCACAAAATCACTGAATCGATCTGAATCGCATGCTACACGCTTTGTTTTCCTGAGTCACGAGTTCATGGTGGGAGAGCGACACAGAGAGAGAGAGAGAGCGGTGGGGGGAGCATGGCTTAGGCTTAATCAGAATTGAATTAAGCCTCAAGTGTATCCCGGTGTGTCTGTGCACACGTCTGGTGCCTAAGAACTTTGGATGTGGTCTCTGGCTACCCAGCATGTCAGAGTTGGTTTCAACCAAGACGTTCACGATCTTTCACGGTGGAATAAAAGCCACAGGTGGAAGGTTGACCAAGTTGCCCTGGCCCAGCCCTCAAACGGTATTCCTTATTTGTGTGCTGGCCTATCCACTTCTTGTAGCTAGCAGCTTTGTGGTGACATACATCGCAGAAATATCGCTCTCTATTGAGCACAAGATTCTGTTTCATGGGTGTCCCCTAAAAGGGCTGGAGCATCACTCAGTCAGGGGACACTATAGAGGATCCAAGCTGAGCCTTGAGATGCTGCATAGTCTGTTTGGAAAACAACGGTCCTTCTAACTCAGGGCTTCCAAATATCAAAATGCAGAGGCCATTTTGATAGGCTTCATCTACTTTCACTAAGAAAGTGCTGAAAGCACTGAGCGGGGGCCCGTATGGGGACTAGCTGACTAACTTCTGCCGAGCGTAGAATGGACCAGCTCGTCAGCGCTCGGAGCCTTCATGTCGCTATTCGTTCGGTCTTGATTGGTCGGTTCTTTTCAGCGGTCGGTTGCAAGACTCCAATTGGCAACGCCCGCAGTGACTGCGGGGGCGAACGTCGGGGATTACTCCTGGATTAGGATCGTCAATCGTCTGCCACCAACTTTCTACACGAAGTTATGGTATTGCAGCCACAGAAAATAGTGAGACTGATGAAGATACCAAAGTCAAAAAGGCTCGGAAAGAACAAAACTAGAAAAGGAAGAAATCGCTAACAAGAATGTACGTAAAGAAACAAAACTCCGCACAAAGGTGAAGCAAAATGTCTGGATGTCCGCCGCCGCCTGCACAATGCTGCTCTCTCCAAGTCATCGATCGAGGGCGATCATGGGAGTGTACTCTATAAAAGACTTGTTCCTACCATCATGTATCATCAACTCGTCTATACCGGTCATGTAGCAGAGGGAGGATGCAATCTACCTCGTTGGAAGCATGAATTACCCTGTCCTGACTCTTGGCACTCAAGAAAGGGATGTGCTGTGTGACGGCCATGGACATGAATCCAATGTGGCTGACTGCAGCAACATCGTTCCACATATCCACGTCACTTGGCAGTGCCAAGTGCCGATAGGAACGAACTCAAACTACCAAAACTCAAAGGAACACAAAGGTTGTGTTGTCTCGATGGCTCTTGGTGTAAATGGGCTGAAGCACAAACGTCGGGAGCAAGTTGAGGAAATCCATGATGCGAGGTACCACCTGCACAACTCTGCTTTCTAAAAATGGTCACTGAATGCTCGCGCTGGGAATCTCAGCAAGATTTGAAGTTTCGCTGTGACTAGATGATCGGAGCGTGCTTGTCACCACGTTCAAAGTTCAAAGCATAAGCGACCCTGTCCTGACCCCGCCAGTCATAGCTCCTGACGAACAAATGGAAGTGCTGAGTGAAGGCGGGGAACGTGGCATCCGTCGATAAACCTGTCTCTGCTCTCTGTCGGCAACCGCCACTGGCCAACAGGATTGAGTCAAACCGTGAAAAAAAGAATTGGATTCACCGTGAGGCAAAAAGAATCTGACTTACTGTCCAACAGTTCTTCCAAACTCATCCAGAAAAGGATTTTCTGTGTGTGTGTGTGTGCGTGTCAGAAGCTAACAGCGTTCAAAAGTCGCGACATGACCTACATGCTGAAGCAATACATAAAAACACAGAACATGAGAACATAACGTTTGGTAGTAGAAAATGTTGCATGTACAAAAGGCTGAAGCACGTAAAGTCAAAGGTAGTTGAAGAAATCCATCATGGATGCAAGGTATCGCACTGATCTCTACAAATGGTCGTCACTGAATGTTCTCGCTGAAGAATCTCAGCAAGACTTGATGTGTCGCATTGGCGCTCTCGATCTCATTCAACACCAGACTTCTCTCCTTCCATGATGCTATGTGGGGTGGGCCACATAGTAGTGGTGTGTATCATTGTGTATCCTTTTGAGGGAGATCCCACATCTTTCCGCGTGGATCATCACGATGTGGGGAGTTGGAAGCAAGGATCTGGATCTGCTTCCCTCCAACCTGCGCGCAACGACAAAACAATGATGTCTCACAAAGCACTTGAATTTGCTGCAGAGTCGGTTTCGTGCATTAAACTCACCTCAATGATCCTGGAGGCTTAAACATGTTTAAACCGACCAGAGTTACATGATTAACGACTGCAGTTGGACCAAAACATGTTCAAGACTCATCTAGAGAAAGGACCTAGCTGTGCCAAGAGGCCGACACATCTCCTGACGACCTGACACTGACCATAGAAGAGCCAGCTGCCCGGCTTCTTGCACCCACGACCACATCATGGCCGAAGGCACAGAACGAAGAATGCTCAGGAACCAAACTTGATCAAAATTGGGTATCCATCCGGATCACCTGATCCGCTTTGAATCCAAAGTCAGTGGGGTGACAATGCAACATCTTCTGGTTCATTTCCAAAAGTCAATGGAACAAGAAACACGGTGCAGTAATGTGCAGTATTGCATTTCTCACTGTGCCAACATGATAAGCACACAACCATGGCCGTAACTACTTTCAATTCCTCCGTAGGAATGTAATTTGTGGAATCTTTGCCTCGATGACAGTTCGGTGAGGCTGTGTTTCTGGTATTTCCACATTCTGCATAATTATTCCTGTGATTATGTAGAGTCAAACTGAAGACCCGTGATTTCTTGGATATCGTGAACGCCTGCGCTCCACCCCATCTGAGCGCCAACCCCATGGACCACACATCAGAGAGCTCGTTCCAGCCCATCGAGAGGATCACCTGAGTGTTTCATGTGTGTATGATGCTCTATATGCTCGCTTCATGCAGGGAAGCAGGGGAGAGCAAACCAGCAAGTCAAAATACTACAAAGCCCGAGGCCGTGCGCGCATCGCAAGTACATACAAAGAAGATCAAAGAAGTGTAGCATGCGGACTTAATTAGACATGTCGTTGCATTCGCAGAGCCGACTGAGGCACCCACCTCAGGACCTCGGTATTGTCTCGTATTGATGATGGATGAATGATGTTCATCCTCGTACCTGCGTCTCAGCCAGTTTGGGTATCTCTGGTATCCTTTCCCAGCATCACAAAGCTCTGCGTATTGTGTTGTCTGTACTGCAGACAAACCTGCAGACTAGATACGGTCATCTCAAAACGGACGAGACCATTCAACAAACTCGGAGAACAATCCTGAGCAAAGCGTTTGTTTGCCCACTTGGAGTTTGGACTTCTCCTTCCCCGGAGGAACTTTAAAGTGGGAGAAGGACACGTGGCATTGCCGAAGTCAATCAATTTGATGTCACTGCTGACAGGTCGAAAATACCTCAAGCCACAGATTGGCTACAAGACCTACAAGGTGGGAAAGAGGGTATGGTTCTGGTCGCTACAATAAGTTTTTGGTCGCGGCTGCACAGTGTGAACTTGGTTGTCTACACGGACAAAACGTGGATGTTGCAAAGAGAGAGAGAGAGAGGTATGTGGAATGTTGAGCCACAGTTTTGGAGGGACATATTGAAATTGCATGAAATTGCTGATTTGGGTTCGTTAGGTTTCGCAGAAACCTTGCACAAAGAAACTCTCTGAGCATGGTACGTATGACCATTTTTTGAATTCTTATTCTTCTCCTGGAACACACAAAGCAAAGGCAGGCAAGCCTTGAATCAACGAAAGCCGCGGCTTGCCTTTCACAGCAACTATCCCGGCAAGAGCCCCCTGACAGTGTTGAATAGAACGAAACAAGGGTGAATGAGCGAACTTTCGCACGTTAGAACACACACATGAAAGCACTCACATACGAGAGCACAAGAGAGCACACATGTAAGAGCACACACGCGCGAGACCACGCAGGTGAGACCGCACGGAGGAAAGCACACATATGAAAGCACATATGTGCACCTCGATGTTCACACATTGCTGCGCCGTCCACGAATTCAGCACAGTGAGGTTCGAGATCTGTCCTCTCACGAGACGCGGGCACACTCATTTCGGCAATCACCCGGGCACACTCACTTCCCTATCACATGGACATACTGTCACATTAACGGCGTGGGATCCTGGGCACACTCACCTCCATGAGCACACAAGATCACACAAACACATACGATGTTGCCACGATGATGATGATGATGACGATGATGATGATGATGATGTTGACGATTACGATGACGATGATGATGACGATGATCATGCTGACGATGATGATGATGGTGATGATGATGATGGTGATGATGATGGTGATGATGAACAAGCTTCACTGGAACGACGACGACGGCGACGATGATGATCATCTTAATTGTGATGCTGCCCACGATGATGATGACCTATATGGGAGTTGATCTAAATTCCTTTATCCGGGATCCGTCATTTTCGCAAAAAAAATTACTTTAGCCAAACTGTCGCCTTCCTGCGTTTTATCTTTCGCCGAAGTATGTCGTTGTATATATGTGTGCCATGTCTGTTGTGTTTTGTTCACGTCAATGGCTTCTTCTTTACTGGCAAACACAAAATAGAAACTTCACTGTTTGTCAGCATGTGTCTTCTACTTAACTGTTGACACCCTGTACGTCTCTTTTGCTTCTCCTGGGTGTCAGCAAGAATCAAAAATGGAAGAATCACTGTGGTAGCTGGTCACTCAAACTTACTCATAATGGGCTGGGGGTCAGATGTGGCAGGGTGAACTTTCGCCAAACTTTCGCCTTTTGCGGGGTAGAGTTTTGTGGCAAAGCCACCCCCCCAAAGCAGGAGCAGGAATAGTAGTAGTAGTAGTAGAAGAAGAAGTAGTAGTAGTAGTAAGTAGTAGTAAGTAGTAGTAAGTAGTAGTAAGTA